TTCACATTTACTGTATTCTGCTATCTGGATTGAAGTAAAGAGGCTTGATATAGCAGTTTACTTGATGAACATTTCTTGATGATGACTACCAGGGCTAGACATTCAGGGATTTCCTGGAGGAGGTAACTCCTGACTTAGGCTTGGGGGGAGATTTGAATTAGTGGGGAGGAGAACAGAATCCTCTATCAGTGGGAGCTGTGCAGTGATGAGAGGCAGAAACTGTGTTACAGGGAGCTATTAGGAGTTTTCAAGGACAGGAAGAGAGAGTTGTGCAGGGTGAGACATGGTGCTCAGACCGGACGTGTAGTAGAATAGCCCACTGGTGTCCGACACAGCTTAATACCAGAGACAGATATTATTATGGTATATCTTCAAGTAATAACACAGGTGGCTTCTTCAGAAAGATATATATTCCAGGAAGATAGCAGGAAGTGATTAGTTTCCAGGTTTCTTAAAATCAAATCCCCCCAAAAATGTGGGCAGTGTGTAAAGCAAAGCGTTTCCTTGCGTTTCCAAGGCCATGTCCACAGATCTTCTTCTCACATTAAGACAACACTCTTTTTCAGCTCTAGGTGAGAAAGGGCCTGTGCTGATGCCGGAGAACGCTCCTCCATGACGTTGCATTGGTCTGGCTGCGCGCTGTAGCCAGCTGGTCGTTGGTGGGAGCATCCTGCCCTCTGCTGGATCTGGCTGGAAAAGTTAAATTTGCTTTGCCCGCAAAAGAATTAATTAACATTGGGGGCATGTTTAGTTTTATCTGAAAATGAGTATTTGAGTTTATGTTGATGAGGTTTAATTAACTCGAGGATGCATTCCTCATATGATATCTGAATTCTCAGGAGATTTCCAGGTATCCAGCAAAAAAAAAAAAGGCCATTGTGTATCATATGCATACTTCTTCCTCAGTAATTGAGGATACACAGTGCTAGAATTTTTAAAGAAATGTAAAGAATCAAAGCTGCATTTCTAATGATTTTTAAAGTATTCACAGCATGTTGTGATGTGATAGAAAGAACCCAAGGCATACCATTAGACTGCTTGGATTTATATATTAATTCTGCAAGCTACTAAACCTCTTTGAGCCTGTCGCTGCATCTGTAAAAAGATTCTGTGCCCCCTTAAAAAGCTGCTGTGATGATCAGATGAACAAGTAATGTATGCGAGAGCACATTCTTGGGCCCACTGGGCCTGTTCTAAACATGCATGCCATGTGCAGATTCACACAAGAGTACTAAGTGCTGTGCACTAGGAATGTTGTGGAATTATTGATGTCCTGAAATTTATTCTGAGTAAAACTGGAAAACAGATAGTAATGTTTCAAACCTAAAGAATGAAAGGAATCTTCCTAATACGTTGAAAGAAAGCCAGATGTCTTAAACATAATTTTTGCAGCAGGCTCTGGAGATAACAATTTCTTCACTAAGTACCGTCTATCTTCAATTGACTATCCTGTGCTATACAAATTAGTATTTCTCACATTCCTGAGGAGAAAAATGGCAAAAATAATTGCAAACATCATCTTTTACAGAAACCAAACCATCCGTTTATTTTCCTCTCCTCCTTTGCTTCTTTTGATCTGGGCCTCCTTTATTGTTCCCTTCTGTTCTCCTCCGTCTTAATTTTAAACCTGAAAGAAGGAGTTTCTGCAGGCATTGCATTGCTGTCAATGCTTGCTGTTTCTTGCCCTCTGAGAGCAGCTTCACAGGTGGACTGTTTCATTATAATTGGAGTAGATAGGACATCGTCCTAGCTCCTGAGTTGTTTGTCCTGAAGGATGGTGGTATCAATGTGTTTAGTCAAAAATAATAGATATTGTTAAATTAATTTACTTAATTGATTTGATTCTTTTTGTGAACAACTCTGTTTAATAAAAGGATTTTTAAAATCCCATGTGTATTGATCACCTTGCCAGCCTTAGCAAGTGCTATATTGATGTGTTCTAGAAAATTCAAGTTCTACAGTGTTTTAATATAAGTTGCTGAAGACACATAGGAATAAGGTATAATCTCTGTTCATGGCTTTGCTTTTGTTTGTGTGTGCCTTTGTGTATATGTGTGTATGAGTGAGAGAGACAAGCTGGTGATAAGGGAACTAGAGAAGAAATGACTAGATTTCATGTGATCTTTTTTCCTGATAATTTTACATATATCTGTATTTAATTGGTGCATACAAATTAAATAATACCTCTCTATATATAGACTACAATGTCAAATTTCAGTTCATGCATATAATGTAAAATGATCAGATCAGAGTAATTGGCATATCTATCACCTCAAATAAATATTATATTTTATAAATTATACATAAGATTTTTATATTGGAGACATTAAAAATCCTTATTAGTTATTTTGATTAATCACTGAATTAATCTTGTCATCTATAGTTAATATAGAACTATACTATAACATAGAACACTAGCAGACGTCTCTTCCATCTACCTGTGGCTTGTGGCCATTAACTTTCCTCTTCCTATGGCTCCCTTTCCTACACTCTGATACCTGCTATTGTACTCTCTGTTTCCTTGAGATCAACTAGCTTTCACATATAAGTGAGTGGTATTTTTCTTTCTCCCCTTGACTTATTTCACTTAGCATAATATTCTACTGCCATCTTTGTTATCACAAATGACACACTTTTGTACTTTTTATGGCTGAATAATATTTTATTGTTTTGTATATACCACATTTTTTTAATTTTTTTTAATCAATGCACACCTACTTTGATTTTTACCCCTTGGTAGGTTAGTCACTTTCCCATCAATGTGGTGAAATACCTGATATCTGCAACCTAAAGGAGAGGTTTTGGCTCAGAGTTTTCAGAGGATTTAGTCCATAGTTGATTGGCTGCAAGGCACAACTGGCACAGCAGAAGGACAGAGGAAAGCTGCATATCCCCAGTGGCCTGGAAATAGAGAGGGGGCAGAGCCGGGGTCAGTAATACATCCCATAAAGTTACCCCTCCACCCCTCTGAATACATGAGACAGGAGGAATTGTAGATATAAATAATAACCCTTGGATATTGTGAATAGTGCTACAATAAACTTGCAAGGTCTCCTCAATATATTGATTTCATTTCCTTTGGATATATCCTAGCTCTGGGCTTGCTGGACCTTATGGTACCTCTAGTTCTAGCTTTTTGAGGAACCTCCATACTATTTCCCATAATGGCTATACTCAGTTACAATCCTACCAACAGCATGTGAGAGTTCCCCCTTCTCTTCATCCTTATCAGTATTTTTTAAAATCCTTTTCACATGTCATCCATCTAGAAGGATGACATTTTCCACGTTAACAAAGTTTGTGTGTGTGTGTGTGTGTGTGTGTGTGTGTGTTCGTGTGGGAAGCCTGGGTGAGAGCAAGTTTCAAGGCAGAAGGCACCAGAAAAGAATGACATAGTATCATGAAAACCAGTGCTGTGGGTATAGTGGTGAGAAGGTGATATGGAAGGTGAGAGCATGTAGTTTGGGGTCCACTGGAGATGCTATTTAACTGCTGAGGTACGGAGCTTGAATTTTACTACGTATGTGTGTTTTTGCATGGCAGATCACTGTTACGCCTACATGATATGTCATATTCAGCCAGGCGAGTGTTTATTAGAGAGAAAAGTTAGACTGTAAATGGTATTATAGTTCCTTGTGACTTAAAATGTGTGTAAATTTCTAGGAGAGATGTACAGTAGGCTTGGTCAAACTGGGCTGGGTTAATGACTTCCTGAGCAGAGAAGAATTCTCACCTTGCATCTTTAAACAACAGGTTGAATCTCTTCTGATTCATCGCATGCATTATCAAAACACAATCACCAACCTTTTTGTCCTTTAATTTTGGAACACCAGATACTCTCCTTTTTGGAGTTTATTGCCCAAAGAGAAAGATTTAAAATGGATCAGGCATATTCTGTTGTTTTTGTCCGTGAGCCCGCTTGCGGAACAAGGTTCAGGGGCCCAGGCTGGGAGGGCAAGGCACAGAATCAACACACAGACTATGAGGAGGTTTTTGGAATTCTTTCGCTTTATTCAGGAAATGCACAGGCTTATATAGGGTAAAGTGGGGGTGGAGCCAGGCTGGTGCTACTGGATCGCTATTGGATAGGGTAAGGTAGGGGTGGAACCAGGGTGGAGTCGGGATATTTGGCACATCCTTATGGGCCACATGTTAGTTTTTGGATTGTATGCTTCAGGGGCTGAGGTGAATGGAGTCAGGACTTTAGAGGTTCTTGAGAGGATCAGTTCATCTAAGGTCAGATCTCTACACACTCGAGCGGGTGGATTATTCCAGCCGTAATAGGCCTGGGAGTTTTCTCACGAGAGATGGATAAGGCACTCCTGACTCAGTCAGATATTAATCTGATCCTCAGTATTCTACATCTGAATTGCCATTTCATTACATAAAAGAGAAATGTCTGAAAAGACCCATGGATAAAGACTCTGCTTGCTTATCTGATTAATCACAATTGTAGATTATTTATATAAACTGCTTGACATGATATTACTGATCTTAAGTGCTTGTCTCCTCTAGCAATTCCACAAGCACTGAAAAAGACAAAGATTGCTCACTGAAACTTTGTTTATGGCATCTTAAAAGATAGCAACATTGAATTTATATTTCTCAATTCCTATGATTATAATGAGATTTATAGATAATTTTTAAAAATTTGTTTCTGCTCAGAACTTAGTACATTATGGGCATTCTGAAGAATGGAAACCATTCCATTAAACAATTTGGCAAAAATAAAATGTAGTAAGTCCTTAGTGCCTGAGTAGGCAAATAAAAGCATGGAGTAATGTGACTTGCACATAATAGGTGCTCAGTAAATAACTTGAGAAATAATGAAACAGCGAATAGAGTCCTTTTAAAAATAATGTTGCCTGCAATAGTTAGCTCAAGTGCATGTTACAGCAGAAATTGTTCTATGACTACTTGGTCTCATGAGTTAATGTTTAAAAGTGTTTTGAACTCCTTGGAAAAAGAATGATGTTTTCGTTGGCACTGTATCATGTTTGCAGTGGAGCACGAATTCCTCCGCCTTCTCTTCCTCCAGGTGCTGCCCTGTTCACAACCCCCACCTCCACCCCTTCAGGCCGTTGTGATCTCCTACCCGGATGCCAGCCTTTCTTGCTTTTGTCCGGCCAGAACTATGCCTCAGGTAAGGACGGAGCAAACGTTGGGAGATTTCCTTAAGGCTTCTGTGGAGACTCTGGGGAAATGAAACTTGGGTTGGTACTAATGACATCGGAGGGGTTCAGGGAGTGCCCAGCTACAAAAGCAGCTATGGAACAGAGCCCTTCGTGAGTTTCCTAGATTCTCAAGGGGAGGCAGAGGTGTCATTTGCTGATTGCGAGCACACGTCAAAAGTACTAGTTTCTCCATTTCATACGGATAATACAAATAACTCAAAACCTCGACAAGTAGCCAGCAGCAAAATATTTTAGTCTGTTAGAAGGAACCCATAAGATAAATTAGATTTTTTTGTATGAAGAAAAGTTTCAACCATTGTGGTTTCTTTCCCTATAATTTCTTTATATTTTATGATGACAAATAAAGGGATTCTATTTCACAAATGATTGGTCAAGGACGTAATGCTTTTCAATGCATTTGTTACAATTTTAAAAATTGCCTTTATATTTAGGAATACAGTAATTAAACAGTTAAAATGTTACTTGGAAAACAAAAGCTATTTTCTATGTAAAATGGACAATCTTTATGAACAACCAAGCAAGAGTTTGTTTTGTTTGTTTGTTTGTTTGTTTTCTGAGGTTATAACACGCTACCTTTCAATTGATCATATGTAATAAATATCTTAATGTAATACAGGGAGAGCCAGTTACAAGCTCAAAAGAAATAGAATGAATCTGAGTGGCAGATCTTGCCTTAAAGATAGGAACAGCTCCTATTTTTGCAAATTTGTGAAGTGACTTGTTTTCCAAACTAGATCATGAGACTTTCTGTGTAAGTGGAAACATTTCCACTATACATATTAATGTGGAAGTTGCTGTCCATATAGCATATATGCTCTCTCTATAACTTGTTTCTAGGGACTGGAATGAATGTCATGTGGATGACAAATGGTATTCTGTTTAAAAGACCATGAAAATTATGTCTGTTTTTCCTCAAATAAAAATTCAAGTAAGCCTGGCTTTAATTAAACACCATGAAGTTAACAAAAAGTAGGACTTTAGGTTTTTTTTTTTTTTTAAATAACAAAAATTATACAAAGAAACTTTCTCCCTGTGGAGATGTATCCATTGTATCTTAGAGGGCAAAAGGGTAAATTTTGTAGTTTGATTACAGCAGCATTTGGAACTCTGAAACCTTGCAGTCCTCATAAAAGCCACATGTAAAGCATTTCTCTGGGTATGGCCCCAGATAAAAAATGGATTCATTTTGTTACTTGATTCATTACAGAGCGAAGTTCCTATACACATGGGCTTTGGGAATCTTATAGTCATGTTTACATTTTTGTTTCTGTTTTTCTTCTTCTCTATTTGTGACTTGCTGTCCATATCCTGAAATGCATGGGAGTTTGCTTCAGGAAAGATGAGATGGGCAGTGTGAGTCAGGGAGAGATGGTGTTTCCTTCTTGTGTGTTACTGTCCTGTTGTGTTGCAGGAGCTGAGAATACATGTGAGTGGAATGGATGAACATTTATATACTCTGGCACAGAGACCAAGAGGGTTCGCGCACTGAGGTTTGCCAACTGCAATTCTATGGTAGTTTGGGTTTGACACGAGGGGCGATTCTCATTATGTGTTATTTCTTTGACCTGAGGAAGAGAAGGAAACGAACAAATGTTAAAGAAGCGTTTATCAGTATTATTTATTGATAGGAGATCTCTTCTTATAGTAAATAATCAGGAAACTTGCTGTGGGAATGGCTGTCAAGACAGATGTTGAGTTTATAAGATGTAGACAATTTTAGATAATAGGAAAGTTTAATAAATAGGAGACTGTGACATCATTGCAAGAAGATCAGAGAGAAGAGATTACCCAGAAAGCTGAAAGATCTTACTAAAAGAAAAGAGGGAGCTGACGAGAGGCTAAATTTAAGAGTAAAGTGCCAGAACTCAAACATGATATTTTACTAATGAATACAGGGTAAGGCAGGAGGGAGGGAAGGAGGGGAGATATCATTTTCTTGTGTGTATCTACTGTTTTTTTGTTTTTTTTTTTTGTTTGTTTGTTTGATTTTTGTACCGGGGATCGAACTTAGGTCCTTGTACTTGCAAGGCAGGCAGCGGAACCACTGAGCTAAATTCCCGGCCCTACAGTAGCCTTTTGAAGATCAAAAATTCTTATTCCTTCAGATCCATGTCATCCTGAAAGGATAATCAATAATCATTCTAATTGAAGGGAATATGCTTTTCTCGTGACTGCTACGTGACAGGTCAGAAAACCAGTTGGCTTTTAAATGGTTTCTGAAACATAGGACTGAATAAAATGACCAGAGCTCAACAAGAGGCAACTGAAACTTAATCAAATAAATTGCCAACCAAAAGGTAAACTTTCAGTAAGACTCAAAGTGTTCCCCTAAACCCCCAAGTCAGAGTTACTCTTTAGAACTCAACCACCAGGGGTCAGGGCATCTTCTCCAGGAAGCTAAGCTTTTGTTTCCTGCACTTGTGTCTAAGGGGAAAGATACAGTGCAGTGGATCCGGGACTTTTATGTATGTAATACCCATCCCCTGGACAGGGTTCAAATTCTTGTCCCTCCTCTCACCTCTGGTGTTTCTTATTTAGTAAATCTAAGGAAGGTGGATGTGTGTCTCTGGCAATCTTTATTTTGCAAGGGATGAGGGAGTGAAGAGTCTCACCTCTGATGTGAAATTCCTGTGGTTTCTCTGGCTGGTTGATTTGTTAGAGGTTTGTTAGTGTATGGTCCGGGAGCCTGCCCCCAAGACTCAGGGCAGCCTGAATGGACAGGATGCACCTGCGTCACAGGAACCCACACCTGAACCCGCTGTGGTTTTGGAAATGGTGCATTTCCTCTCTGAGAGTCAGGTTCCTCATTTTTAAAATAGGAGAACAATATTGTCTACCTTAAGGGATTCAAATTAATAAGGCATGCAAAGGGCATTAGCAGAGTGACTGGCACACAATGATGCAATTAGTAAAGGTTACCTCTCGTGGTAAGTAGAGAAGGGTGGCACTGAGGCTCTCTTTGGCCAGAAAAATGGTCACAGATAGAGGCCAGGTGTTAACTTCTTGGAGACTATGCTTGGGTCTTGAAGGTCCAGAACCAGTGTCTGCAGGTAGATCTTAGACCGGAGGATGAATAAAGATAAGAATAGGAGATATACTTTCTCACTGAAACAAGCTTTATTTTTTTTTCCAAGAGTATTAATGAGAAGCCCAGATGGCACAGTTAATTGGAATTATAATTGATCCCACAATAGTATTTAAGTCAATAGTTTAATTGATTTTCCTCAGGAAAACCATTATGAGAGCTGCTAAATAAAAGAACAAAGTGAAATTCATTAAATTCTGTGATTTGTTCATATCTGCCACCCACCACTCTGCTTGAAAGTAATGAATGAAAAGAAAATGGTCAAAGAAAGGGAAGAAGCGGTGGTTAAAAATATCAAATAGGCCGCAGTTAAATCAAATGCTTGTTGGTGGTTCAGTGTGATGGCAGATTACACTGTACCAGCTGGCCAGCTCGCATATGGCTGATGCCAAGTGCCCTCCCCAAAAAGAAAAATCAGGAGTAGAGGAGACAGAATTGACATCCTAGATACTCTTCTTAACAAACAAACATGAAATTTGGGGGCATATAGATGTGCGGCAAGAGAGTAACAGCCAACAAGTTAATAGATGGGCGAGAGGGGTGAACTGAGAAGAGACCGTCATTTAAATTCAAATGAGTTGTCCTCTATGCGTCTTAATGTTCCAAGTTCCCTTTCACTCTTGATCCACTGTAATATGACAGATACAGTGGGGCAAACTCAGCATTTCACTCAAGCAGGGTGGTCCTTAAACAAGGACACCTAAGTTATCAGCAAATGCTATCTATTTTTAATGAATTTTATTTACCTAGAACTGATTTTTAGGTTTTTCCCTCATAAATCAAATACAAATATATTTTGGCCAGTGTTGTTACATCTCTAGGTGTTACTGGTATCTTCTCAATAAAGAACCATCATAATAGAATTGGTAATGATGAATAAATGATGAAGAAAAATACTGACAATCACCACCATTTTCTTAATGAACTACCATCTGCTAGGTCATACTTCATCATTAATCTTTACAGTAATCTGTTAGGAGTCATTATTGTTTTGGCCATTTTCCACGTCAGTTCTGAAAAATCACAGAGGTAGAAAATACAAAACTCTTTAGATGAAATAATTTTTAACATATCACTAATTTATTCTAAGTTACTATTTGAGAAACCTAAAAATATAGTGGAAAGACAGTAAAATTAGAAATCTAAATAATCTGAATTGGGCTCTTCATGTACTGTTTACAGTGAGTGATCTAGTAAAAATCAATCTCTTTATGCCTCAATTTCACTAGTGAAAATAAGATTATAACAACTACTTCATAGTTATGCTTTTATAATTAATAAAATACTTGAGAAGGGACTGGAAAATCTGCTGTTGATGTCTTTACAGCATTTTTACTTCATCCTATGTGTTTCTGCTCTCATTGTTTCTAACTCAGACCTTTTGCTCAGTATATAAATTCTCAATCTTCTTAGCAAAATTCTCCTATCTTGAGAAGCCTATGTCAAATGGTGCCTACCAAATTAGCCTTTCTTGATAACATCAGGCATCATTATGATTTGTCATAGTCTTTTTATATTATCAGAACCATGCCATCATATTATTATATTAATTTATTATATATGGTTTATTACTTCCCTCTAATTGCCTAAGATGAGAAAAAATATCATGAAAACTGTGATTAATATGAGAGGAAATGTATAACATACTATCCTGACAAAATAAAAATTTAAAACTATTCAAAGAGAATGCTTTCAATTAAGTTAAATCTATTCCTATGATAGGCTTCCTAATAATTCCCAATGCCCTGACCTCTCAATTTAATTATGATAAAACATCAAATGAAATTAAATTGAGGACCATTCATCAAAATACTTGACTGATATACGCATTATAATAATGTTGTGGCTTGTGTCTAGATGTCT